GATTTAAAACCACATACTGAAACGGCCTGGGTCGGATTTGAAAAAATCGGATTTGGGTCGGATTTGCCTGCAGTGTGAACGTAGCCATTGACTCAGAAGATGAAGCTTGATGTTGTGAAATGTGGAAATCATTTATTTCCACTTGTTTTAGTCACAGTTTTGTCACAGTTCATACCAATCCACATTCTTCTTGTGAATGGGTGTTCTGAACTGTAATTTCATTGTGCTCTGTACAATGACAATAAAGGTTTATTTTATCTTATCTTATCTTATCTTATCTTATCTTATCTTATCTTATCTTATCTTATCTTATCTTATCTTATCTTAATTCTGAGCTTCTCTTTCAGAGTTAAATCATGAGTCAATGGTTTTACCCAATTGATGAGTTTGACAGGTTTTATTTGATTATTTCATTTAAACTGTTGGGTCAGAATCAGTGACCCAGTTTCTCTCTGATCCACAAACCTCCACATAAACTGTATTTTTACCTTTTTTTGATAAACAACTCATTATGCTAGGACAAATAATGGAGATGATGGGTAAGATCATGTACTCACATTCATCAGTTTTAAAACATATGGATGAAATTGGGAAAAATATATTTTTGCCTTTTGTCATTGGCTGTTCAGTTTGGGATGAATAAAGTTATGTTTGACTGAACTAATGAGCTAACAGCTAGTCTGTTTGTACCAAAATCAAAGTGGGTTATGTATGTTTTTAAAACTCTAATTTCTAAAATATCATAACCCTTCATTTAAACATTGTTTGTATTACAAACCTGTACATTGCTCACAATTTCACTTTACACGATTATGCCACCAGAAATGCYATGATATCCCTACAGGACGTGCTCCCAGACTGCACCACAAGTGCTAAAGCTAAAGCTGGTGTCTGGTATTTACCATGTTGTAAACAACCATARATTTTTATGTACAGAGGAAAATGTAAAACTAAGAATTAAAAAAATAATGCCCCGAGTGCGTATAAACAAGACGAACGGGGGGAAAGAGCAGCAGTAAAAGTGTCACATTTATGGATTTCAAGTCATGTTAGTGTTTTATTCAAATGTTACCCAGCTGTCTGATAAAAACTGAACTGAGCTATTTAAGTTAATTTAAGATAATATGAGCATTAATTGCTCAGGTTAAGTCCAGGTTTTTTTTTTTATCTACACCAGGTAGTATTGAACATGTCAACATTTTTCTCAGTAAATATATTACTAGAGGTGCTAATGACATGAAATTTTCACCAGATGTTGGTAACAACCCAAGTGATC